AAACACATTATTTTCCACGTACTGTACATTATTGTTTCTCCTCTGTGCCCCGCCTTTTACAAAGCTCATCGGTCTGAAAAGCGAGGTGTGCTCTGATTGGCCAGCTATCCAGTGCGTTGTGATTGGCCGAATACCTCAAGTGTGTGACGGAAATGTTACGCCCCTAAGCATACTGTGATGCCATGTCCCGGCTCAACTTTACAGATCTTCTTTATGCACCAAGAGCTTGTAACACTTCAAAGAGATAGGAAAAATTGAAATCGCATCATATGACCCCTTTAAGTTTAACCATCATAGAGTGAAAGTTTATCATTTGCACGTTTTCTCTTGCCAATTTACACATTCAAGCTATTTTAACTTGTGTGGGTGTGGACGCTCTAGCCAAGATTGGCCAGGACCAGTCTTTATGCCTTCCCGTCGACCCGTTTGCTCCCAAATGGTTCCGTTTAGAGTACGGGTGGTCAGAGTGGAACGTCTGTTGTTGGTGGTGCTGTCTGGCCCACTCAGACGTGGTTCTCGGAATTGGTCAGTCTGTTAGCCGGTCCCCTTGGGAGGTTCCCCTCGGACACGACCTGCTGACTTAGGCTCGGGGCATGATTTGGACATCCCATCCGGATTTTTGGAAGTAATGGGTGTGGCCCCTGAGCGGAGTTGTAATGTGTTCCAGTCTCTTGGCAGAGATTACCGACACTATTCTTAATTCAAGGGCTCCCTCCACGAGGCGCTGTATGCCCTTAAGTCCATTTTCCTGTAGGGCCCTGCCACTCTTAAGGTTTATGTGGCAGCCATATCTGCTGAGCATTACCCATAAGAGGTGTTTCAGCGGGATGTCACCCTCTGGTTTCCCGTTTCATGCAGAGGTCGAGACGGCTTAGACCTTTTCGCCTGGCACAGATTCCTTTTTGGGACTTATCTTTCGTTTGGAAGGCCTGGCAGGCCATCCATTTGAGCTGTTTAAGTCTGTGTCAGATAACTTTTGAACCTTAAGACAGTTTTTTGGTGATTCTATTCTCTCTTAGAGAACTGGGGATCTGCAGGCTCTATCAGCTCCTCTTGTATGGACTTTGCCCCGGGGCTGGTTAAAGTCTTACTGCTGCCTAGGCCTGAGTTAATCCTAACGCTGCTTCGACAATGGGTGTGGCCCCTGAGCGGAGTTGTAATGTGTTCCAGTCTCTTGGCAGAGATTACCGACACTATTCTTAATTCAAGGGCTCCCTCCACGAGGCGCTGTATGCCCTTAAGTCCATTTTCCTGTAGGGCCCTGCCACTCTTAAGGTTTATGTGGCAGCCATATCTGCTGAGCATTACCCATAAGAGGTGTTTCAGCGGGATGTCACCCTCTGGTTTCCCGTTTCATGCAGAGGTCGAGACGGCTTAGACCTTTTCGCCTGGCACAGATTCCTTTTTGGGACTTATCTTTCGTTTGGAAGGCCTGGCAGGCCATCCATTTGAGCTGTTTAAGTCTGTGTCAGATAACTTTTGAACCTTAAGACAGTTTTTTGGTGATTCTATTCTCTCTTAGAGAACTGGGGATCTGCAGGCTCTATCAGCTCCTCTTGTATGGACTTTGCCCCGGGGCTGGTTAAAGTCTTACTGCTGCCTAGGCCTGAGTTAATCCTAACGCTGCTTCGACTCCGTTTCGCTTTCAGCAAGTGGTTGGAGGCTTTCTCCCCTGCTAATGCGGGGTCAGATAGTGATGTGCAACTTCTGAGTCTTGCCCGGTGAGGGCACTGAAGATCTATAAGTTGACCGCACAGCCGAGTATCGTGGCTCTACTAGTTGTTGGTGTGTTTTGGTAAGAGCAAAGGGTCTGCTGTCACCAAACAGAGAATGTCGCATTGATAGAGGAGGCTATATCTCTGGCCTATGAGGCGCGTGGTTTGACTTCGCCTCTAGGGGTGCGTGCTCATTCTACGAGAGCAATGGCTTCTTCTCAGGCTCTCTTTAAAGGCCTTCGATGGAAGATATCTGTGCTGCGGCAGGATGGTCCTCTCCTAGCACTTTTATCAAGTTCTACTGTCTGGACGTGAGGATGGCTCCTGGCTCCCGGGTCTCTTCCACTTGAGCAGACTCTTTCCTCGGTCTTCCAGCTATCTTAGGTACGTCAGGCGTTATGGTATAGTGTTCCCATAGCGATGACGCCATTGCAGCATTGAAGTGAACCTATAAAAGGGAACGTCTCGTTTATGTATGTAACCTTGGTTCCCTGAATAGGGAACGAGATGCTGCAATGCTGGCCCTTCCGTACCTCCAATAGCACTTCCTTCGTCATGTGGAAATCTGATGAAATAGCGTGCAGCATGCATATATGAGCATATGTGACGTATGCTCTGGGCGGTGCTAAGCGCTATTGGCCAATGAATTGGTGTGATGGTATAAGGGCTTCAGACATTCGTCACACCGGAGGTGTTTCCCATAGCGATGACGCCATCGCAGCATCTCGTTCCCTATTCAGGGAACCAAGGTTACATACATAACCGAGACGTTTCGGTTGGTGGTTTTGAATGAATCGGCGAGTGTCTCACAGAATGAATCTTTCAAATCATTCTAGTCACTGGGATGATTCAAAATCCCCACCACTTGCACACAAGTATTTTAGATTCAACCTTTTATGTATACTTTCAAAGTCACATATTTTAATACCTGAACCAATATGTCATGGAAAATATTAATTTGGCTATTAATGACATGAAAGTGGAAATATATCATGAGAAATCTAAAAATATATATTTACCAAAGGTGAAAAGATGTACAGACCAGACAGGTTCACCACAGAAGATGTGTTTATTTTTCAAAGGAATCATGATAAATGGCAGATGGTGCATTTGTCATGCTTATAGGAATAGCTTGAGTAAACACATACAGGGCATATGAATCAATATCTCAATGCACCCATCTAAAACCAACAACAACAGGTGATATAAAAGATGTCGGCGCCTATTCACTGATACAGATTGTCTGATATCCATTTTGTGAAATATTATAAATAATTAGGCGTTTTAAGACTGGAACAGTCGTCCTAAGTGGCATATTAAAACCTAAATTACATAAAACTGTCATAAAGAATCAAATTTTTATGTTCAATCCATAAGGTAGACAAAAGGTTGCATGGATCAGTGAAAATTCTCTTCAACATACAGCAAAGTTTGCAATTCAAGGTGCTCTGACAAGGCCTTCAGAGACAAATGAATGATGAAGAAGAATTAAGGTTAAAGTATTTGCTTTAATACTGCAAATGTTTTGATACTTCTAAACATTGTTCAAGATGTAATAACTTATTGGTATAGCTGTTTTAAAAGTAGAAAATCACTCAGATATTTAGTTTTCCACTCATTGCTCTTATTTTAAGCAAATCGGCACAGGCGCACAAACTTGCGCGAACACACACACACACACACAAACACACACACACACACACACACACATTACTAAAAATATTTTAAAAAACTGGGATTGAAACAGATCACAAAAACAGCAAACAAAAAACAATAGAATAAGACAGAACATTTGCCATGTCTACTGTGAATAAAGCAGCAGTCTTTGCCATGGAAACAGTCATACAGCATCACATGGACTGTACAAAGTGTGAAAACAACTTTTAGTGTTGCCAAATATTTTAACTTGGAGCCTGGTTTTAGATATCAGGCTCAGGTGAAGTGACCCTTTTAACCGTAGTGCTCGACACATGCATTCATATCTTTGTGTTGTGTTTGACATACAAATACATCTGTTTGCTTATCTACTGAAAATCCTTCAGTGTGATGATGTTAAAGTGTTATGTGTCTGCTTGTGTAAAAGTGCAGACAAGTTGAAATCAGCGGTTTTTGCTCAGGGCAGCGTTCACAGGTCCTGTTCGTGCATCTGCTGCTGCATTTTTTGAAGCATCTCCTGCATCCTCCGCAACTGTGAGGGACAAAGTCAGCAATATTAGGCAGATTCAGCATTTAGTGTTGCAAACAGTGCCTAAAATGAACACTCGCCAAGCACCAAAGGTGAATAAAAACCAGCGTTGGGGAGTATATGAATATTAGTGAGATTTATGGCAAAATGATAGCTAACATTGGAAAGCAAAGAACAAAATCAACCATAAATATTAGTATTGTAATTGTACTGTTGTTTACATTACATACTGTTAATTAGCATTATTATATAAATTGAATGTATTATTATGAGATACTTTACAGTTAAATAGTATTACAGGGATATTTCTTTATTGATTTGTTTATTTGTAATAAATACAATAAATAAATAAAATTATTATTATTATTTAATAAAATAATAATTATTATTATTATAATAATAAAGATTGCAATTGCCTATTTGTTCTGCCTGATTTTTAATGAAATAATGCACATACAGTTTCATGGCTGGTAAAAAAAAATATTTATGGCAGGTAAATTTTCTCAAGTCTCTTTTGATTTTCAGGTGCAGCAAAATGTTTTAGGCCCTGATTGCAAATGTCTCAAAAACACTAGTTTTGTGCTCAATGCCACATTTATAAAGTAACAGCTAACTGAAATGACTAGATTAAGCAGGACAGCTGACTGACCTCTTCATCCTTCATCTTTATCAGCTTTTCTGTCTCTACGTCCGGGGTGGACAGTGGTAGTATCGGGATGGGGCTCTCCACGCGATTATCCTGGGTCAGTTTGCTGGTGGAAACAGAACATCTCATAAGCGATAAAGTCAATGGCAAAGTATCTTTTTCTATGATATTTATTTAGTAGGAAAGCATTGTGACTTACCTTGTCATTTGCTGTATGCACTGTGCCCTGTAGTTTTCATAGTGCACGTCACACGTGATGTCTTTCAGGTCGTGCATGTGTGTGCGAATCAACATGTTCCTCAGCTTGACGAAATCACAATGGGACTGATTCTCCACTGTGACAAAAAAAAATATGCACACAAATCTGTTTAAAAACCTTTTAATACATTTATGGTTAGCTGGCACATGGTTGATTAAATCTTGTCAGCATAGAGTCTGTCTCATGCAAAACAGAGATATTCAAGTGCAGATCCGTACTGACCTTCCACAATGCCCCATGGGTAAAGTCTGCCTCTCACCCGCTGACCTTTGACCTCAACTATTGTGTTGCTCCCAATCACAACAAATGGAGTGCTCTCCTGAAACACATAACATAAAACATTTAGATGTTTTGCTTCTAAATTTTTACGTTTTTAGTAGTTAGTAAAGTTCTCTAGGAAGAGTTAGGTTTACATTCGTCTTTCCAAAGATGGTGATTTATTCTGTTGTTCGGGTGAATTATTTACTTAAAATTTTATTTTATTTTAAATTTTCCATTAGTTAGTTAACAGTTATTTTTTGAAGACTCCATTGTTTGGGTGAATATTTTTTATTTTTTTGTACATTAGTTAGTCAAGTTCTCCAAGATGCTTTTAAAGTGTACATTAATTAGTTAGTGTGGCGCCGCCACACGCTCACGTCATGATACTGTCGTGAACGCACGTCCAAAGTGACGCAGTAGAGAAGAAAATTTGGAATAAAGTCGTTATTTTTGTTTTCTTTGTGCAAAAAAGTATTCTCGTAGCTTCGTAACTTTACAGTTGAACCATTGATGTCACACGGACTACTTTGTTGATCATCTTGGTACTTTTCTGGACCTTGAACGTGGTAGTTACCTTGCTGTCTATAGGAGGGTCAGAGAGACCTCATATTTCATCAAAAATATCTTAAATTGTGTTCCGAATATGAACGAAGGTCTTACGGGTTTGGAACAACACGAGGGTGAGTAATTAATGACAGAATTTTCATTTTTGGGTGAACTAACCCTTTAAGGTAATTTTTTTTTAATATTTATATTTAATTTTTTAACTTTATTATTATTATTTATTTTATTGTTTATTTTTTATATTATTTATTTATTCGTTGCAACTTTACAGATCTTCTTTATGCACCAAGAGCTTGTAACACTCCAAAGAGAAAGGAAAAATTGAAATCGCATCATATGACCCCTTTAAAGTTTCTGCAGGAAAAGTTGAGCTTACAGTAGATTTTCAAAGATTGTGATGGATTCTCTTGTACAGGTGAAATATTTATTTTTCTTTTATATATTTTTTATTTTAATTGATCATTTTTTATATTATTTTTGCTTAGATTTTTTATTATTATTATTATTATTTGCGTTATTTGTGAGATTATTATTTGTGAGTAGTTACAGCATCTACCAGCAGTCAAACCTTAAACCCCTTAATGGAAGCAGCGCATTTGGTTTTGGATGAGTGACTTTGATTCTTCGTCAAACTCCTAATGGTTTTAATCCGGCGTGGACCCTATGAACCAGACATCAACCTTGGATGGAGCAGCGAACATCACTTTTCGTGTCTCGAGTCATTAAGTACACCAGCATCCGTTTACGAGTCATAATACTGACCTTTAGCTCTCGGTCCTGTTGCTTGAACTCCTCGTCCTCATCGGAATCACAGTCTGGAAACTGGTACACTTTGATTCCGAACTTCTCTATCTCCTCCCTCACCTTGAATAGAAGGATGAAAAACATTGGTTACGTCAGAACAGAAGCCCTGACACATGGAGCGAGGACGTGCCTGTATAAACAGGCTGATCCACGTTACCCTGTCCTTCATCTTCCTCATCTCCGCTGGCGTCAGACAGTCAGCCTTGGAAATGAGTGGAACCACGTTCACCTTGTCCTGCAGTGCTTTCATAAACTCCACGTCCACGGGCCGCAGCCTGACGGGGACAAGAGAGAGTGAGGGGGCTTATCTGCTCTGAGATACTTTATTCACTTTGCTTTCAAAAAAGAGACATTTAGAGTCTAGAGGCCATATAACAATACGATTTTTTTGTTCATTCATAATCGAGTAGTATGAAATACATATTACTATTCAAATACTTGGGGTCAGTAAATTTTTTTTTTCAATATTCTTGAAAGAAGTCTCTTCTGCTCACCAAGGCTGCATTTATTTAATTAAAAATACAATAAAAACAGTAATATTGTGAAATATTATTACAATTTAAAATGTTTTCTGTTTTTAATATATTTTAAAACATTTAATAGTTTTTTTCCTGTGATGCAAAGCTGAATTTTCAGCATCATTACTCCAGTCTTCAGTGTCACATGATCCTTTAGAAATCATTCTAATATGCTGATTTGCTGCTCAAGAAACATTTTTTTATTATTATTAATGTTGACCGTTTTTGCTGCTTAATATATGAATAGAAAGTTCAAAAGAACAGCATATATTACAAATGGAAATCTATATATTTTTTTTTTACAATTATAAATGTCTTTCCTGTCACTTTTGATCAATTTAATGCATCTTTGCTGAATAAAAAGTATTAATTAAAAAAAACAAACAAACATCTAACTAACCCTAAACTTTTAAATGGGAGTGTATACTTTAATTTTAATAAAGGAAGCAATATGATGGTCAACATTTTTTTGCTCATTCATAATAGTGTTTAAAGTACTCTAAAACCATTTATCAAAACAATTACTGTAAACAGACCTTGCCTAGAAATAGTTTTTGTTTGTCTGTTTTTTACTATAATTTAATCATATTTTTTAGTGCTGTCAAACGATTAATCGTGATTAATCGCATCCAAAATAAAGGTTTTTGTTTACATAATATATATGTGTGTGCTGTGTATATTTATTATGTATATATAAATACAAACACATGCATGTATATAAGAAAATATGTTATGTTAATATATTAAATATATGTATTTATAATATAAAATACAAGAATAAAAATATATAAATGTATTTCATTTTCATTTATGCATTTGGCAGACGCTTTTATCCAAAGCAACTTACGTTGCATTTAATGTATATGTTTAAGGTATTTTTATATATTTATTTTTTAGTTCATGCATTCCCTGAGAATCAAACCCATAACCCTTAGTGCCATGCTCTACTGTTTGAGCTACAGGAGTGCTTTTATCTGAACATATTTTATTCAGATATGTACAATATATTAGCAGAGAGTCAGGGATGGATTACCCATGTCCAAACGGAGGGACAATTATTTCAAAATTACTTTCTTTTGCGAAATTTAACATGTAACATTTCATGTATTTCATTTTCATTTATGCATTTGGCAGACGCTTTTATCCAAAGCAACTTACGTTGCATTTAATGTGTATGTTTAAGGTATTTTTATATATTTATTTTTAAGTTCATGCATTCCCTGAGAATCAAACCCATAACCCTTAGCGCCATGCTCTACTGTTTGAGCTACAGGAGTGCTTTTATCTGAACATATTTTATTCAGATATGTACAATATATTAGCAGAGAGTCAGGGATGGATTACCCATGTCCAAACGGAGGGATGAAGTACAAGCAGCAGTGGACACGGTTATCCTGGATGTTCTTCCTGTTCAAGCCACTTTCGTCCCGAAAATACTGTTCAAACTGCTGGTCAATATAGTCAGTATTGGCCTTCCAGCTGAGGATTGAGATAAAACATCCTGTTAACAGAAAACTACCAATAATTAACAAATCTGAGCTCAACTTTAAAGGTGACATATCATGAAAATCAGATTTTTCCAGGTTTTAAATGCTATAATCAGGTCCCCGGTGCATCTACCAACCAAGGAAACGTGAAAAAGATTAACCCAGTAACTTTGTTTTGGTAAGCCTTTTTCTGCAAGCGTCTGAAAAAATGAGCACATCTGATTTTGCTCCCTTGGTGACGTGGCAAAGGGATCTCAGTATAATATTACCGCCCCTTAATTTGTAAGTTTTCACCCACGGCGCCGTCACACAGCGACAACGGTGTACTAGCTTTAACGCCATGGCGAAAGTTTGAGCAAAGCATGCTAACTGTTCTGTCTTTGGCTGCACAGACGAACACAGAACACTGTTTAGAGTCCCAGCCTCAGAGGACAGCTCTATTCTGGAAAAGGGGGCGTGGAGCAGCAGCTCATTTGCATTTAAAGAGACAGGCCCGAAAAACAGCGTGTTTCTGCTTCCAAACAAAATAGGCATTTTCAGAATGATATAATAAATGATCTGTGGAGTATTTCTTGCTGAAACTTCACAGACACATTCTGGGGACACCAGAGACTTATATTAAATATTGTAAAAAGGGGCATAATATGTCTCCTTTAAGTACTTACGTCTCTGTATTATTGACAGCATCTCCAAAACCTGGTGTGTCTACAATGGTCAGCTTCAGCTTAATGCCCTTCTCCTCAATGTCAACCGTGTGTTTGATTATCTCCACGGTCTGACTGATGCGCTCTAAACACAAAATACATTTTTGAGGAAGGACAAATGTGTCTTTTAGATGGGATAATTTAAATTGCAGTAAGTCTGTGAGTATGGGAGCAGAAATATACCTTCAGCGTTGAGTAGTTTTCTGTCCTTGTACAGATCTGTGAGGAACAAGCTGTTGATCAGGGTGGACTTTCCAAGACCAGACTCCCCTAAAAGACAACGAGCGTAAACATGCAGAAATGCCGTTTTTGCTCATGTGGTCGAGGAACGTTTGAATCCCCCATCTTTAACTGTCCTCTTTCCATTATATGAATCATTCAAATTGGCAAAAAGACATTTTATTTCCCAGGGTTATTATAGTTATATCAAAACTCAAACTAAAATTAAAACCAATAAAAACACATTTTCATTACTTGACAAAACAAATGTTAATTTAAAAAATACTAAAACAAAATCAAATATAAAAAAAAAAATTTATTCCCCTATTTTAATTTAGTTTAACTTGATGTACTCAGTTAAAACTAAAACTGAAATAAAAATTAATTAAAACAATTATATAAACCTACATATAAAAAAGAAAAAACACTAAAAATGACAAAACACGCAACAAAATTACTGACATTTTAAATAAAAATGCAAAATATAAAAATACAAATTAATTCAAAATATTAATAAGCACTAATAGTTTCTCAATTATACTAAAATAACACTGTTACGTGCTGTTTTTGGTTATAAGCAGTGTCATTTTAGTATTTTTATATACTATTAAAGTATTTATGAATATTTTGAGTCTTATTTTTATATTTTCAGTTTTCATTTTAATCTTAGTTTAAGTTGTAGTAATTTTGTTGCATGTTTTTTTTAATGTTTCTATTTAACTTTCATTTATATTTAGTTCAGTTTTAGTTTTAGTCATTTTAGTACATGAACTTCACCTTATTTTAATTCAGTTACTTGCCAAGGGAATATTTCTAAATTTCATTTCAGTTTTTTAATTTGACGTTTTTCATTTAATATTTCTATTTTATTTAATCTCTATTTTAATTAAATTGGATAGTCCATCCAAAAATTAAAATTCTAAAAAATAAAATAAAAATATTAAAAGTCATAATTTACTCAGCCTCAGGTTGTTCCAAACCTGTATGCCTTTCTTTCTTCTGCATGTGGAATACAAAAAAGATCTTTTGAAGAATGTTGATAACCAAACAGTTTTGGATCCCATTGACTTCCATTGTATTTTTTGTCCTTACTATAGAATCAATCAATGGGAACCAAAACTGTTTGGTCACCAACATTCTTCAAAAGACCTTCTTTTTTTCTGTTCCACAGAAGACAGAAAGTCATGAAAACATATAGAAAGGCATGGAACAACATGAGTAAATAAATGACAATAAAATATAAATTTTTGGGTGGACTATCACTTTAAGAAATACAATATTTAATAGTTTTAAAATGAGTTTCGGTTAACAATAACAACACTGGTGATAAGAACCTCACCTGCCACCATGAGTGTGAAATCGAAGCCTTTTTTGACCGACTTTCTGTGAACCTGATTCGGGAGGGTGGCGAAGCCGACATACTCTTTTTCCTAAAACAATGGCATATAATGACATCATTTAATAGCGCAATGCTAATACTACCACATTAATTTCCATATCAAAACAACTGTACAGTATGCAAAAACAGACATCAGCAAAGCAAATCATGTGATAGCTGCAGGATAAAGATGAATCCAAGCACCCAACCCCCAACCTACACAGCCAGCCTGATGTATGCCACACTCACATCTTTACTAGGGCAATCCCAGAATTCCTGCCATGTTTCATTGTGCTTGGAGAGTTTGTGTGGGAGCGGCCAGTGCCGAAGGCCTCACGGTCCATATTTACAATATTACACAATTTGTCCTATTATATAAAACCTCTCTACTGTCATATAGAATCATTATGCTTGGTTTGCATCGCAGATATGCAAAATTAGCCCTGTTTTTTGGTCCAATGCATCTTAAAGGGCAGCAGAATATGCAAATTTGTTTTACATACCATGCAGGATCTGTGTTTGTATGAAACACAAATGCAATAAGACTAACTAGTGTTTGTTTTTGAAAAAGCATTATATTATATTGCAAAAAATATATATTTTGGATCAAAAATGAAGGTTACAAACTTCGCAATAGATTCTCCCACTTGGCTTCATCTCCAGGATTGTTAGGCCTGTCTGGGAATCAGGGAAAGAGGTTTATCCTCACCCAGAGGCATGGATATTGGATTTTGCTTTCATGCACGACTGGCAACAGTCTCAGTCACTGGAAGCTGTGTGCATGTATTCGTGGGCGTTCACCGAGAAACAAGACAAGAAATGAATTGAACGTTTCCTAGCAGACAGAGGCATTAGTGTTATTTTCATCAGTCGCCCAGGTTGACTGACAGTTCGCCCTCGGGTGGGCATACAGTGCACATTTAGACATTTTCTAAGCCAGTGCACAGAGCACACACCACATGAGCATCAGAATTTTTCAAGATTTAAGAGGAATATGAAATCAGAGAAATATTGCAAAACAGTGCGACACCTCATAAAAAAAATTAGAACAGGCATATCATAAATTTACTAGGATATTTATAATTTAAAAATACTATATGGGAAATGTAATCCCAAAAATGAAAAAAAAAAAAAACTAAAATGCGCAAAATTATATTTTGCATAAAGTAAATGAACCCTAATTTTGTAACTATGAAGATTTTTGCATTGTGACATTATTTCTGTAACATTTAATCAAATTTCTCCCCTAATGCTCATTACAGTAATGCATAAAGAAAAAAATGTCACAATGCAAACAAACATAATTCCTTTACTTTCTGCAAAATACCGTTTTGATTTTGAAGTGAAATGTCTTTGAGATTCATGCATATAATTAAAATAATTATGTAATTAGATTCAATGAATGTTAATGAGCATGTTAGGACTACTGGCTGGTGGTATCAGCATCTTTTTCATTGTCCTCAAATGATGCAATGCATGCAGTTCTCCTGCTGCTTTACAGCGAGGTCAAACAGAGATTGTGATGAAATGTGGGACACTGAAAGCTGGCAGTGAGGATTAGTTTCATGCACTTCTGAAAATGGACAGCATCTATCCATTTGATGGATACGTTATTTGCAACACTTAAATGTCAGACCGAATATACAGAATATACTATTTTGGTGTTCATTGTTAACATACTCTCACAACCAAACAGGACCGTCATATGAGCCCCATGGCTCTATTCACAGCAACCCAGCCCACTGTCCCAGAAATATATGCAGCATGCGCGCAGATGTGAATCGACCTATGGCGAACACATAGATACGCAGCACATTATTTAAGTTGATAATTGCAGACTAAAAAGTAGCTTACCTCTGCATCCTCTGTTGTGTGATGTGAGACGCCTGCAGCAGGTGAAGGATGCAGAAGCCCATTTAGGGTTTAAGAAATCCAGAGCGATTGATGCAAACAGACAAATTAATTTTCCGTTATTAAATCTTGCTGTTATTTCAGTCACATACCGGTAATACCTCACTTATCTTACCTGATTTCACCGCCCTGCTCTTGTACCTGGCGCTGCTCGTCATCCCGGCCGCTTTCGGAACGCCGAATCGCAAATCGCACTATGGAGAAGGCCTGCTCATTAATATTCATTAGACCAGCCTTCTCCATTGGACGGTCACCGAGGAATGTCTGCGCTAGTCCATCGCTATTGGATGGCAGCCGCACAACGGAAGCATTACGTAATTAATATTCATGAGATGAGGTTTCGCCATAGTAGGATTTATATGTATCCTTGGAGAACAGCTGGAAGAAATATGATGCTGCCGGATGGACAGGGGTGGACCTAACAGTAGCTAAACCTGATTAGAACCATAGCAAAACTATTTTTCCATTTGAAAATTACGTTGTACTATATTCAATTTTAAAATTATATGTATATAAAGTCAAAGTATATATAAAGTATAGATAGATAGATGATAGATAGATAGATAGATAGATAGATAGTGAAAGGATTTAGGGTTTAAGAAATCCAGAGCGATTGATGCAAACAGACAAATTAATTTTCCGTTATTAAATCTTGCTGTTATTTCAGTCACATACCGGTAATACCTCACTTATCTTACCTGATTTCACCGCCCTGCTCTTGTACCTGGCGCTGCTCGTCATCCCGGCCGCTTTCGGAACGCCGAATCGCAAATCGCACTATGGAGAAGGCCTGCTCATTAATATTCATTAGACCAGCCTTCTCCATTGGACGGTCACCGAGGAATGTCTGCGCTAGTCCATCGCTATTGGATGGCAGCCGCACAACGGAAGCATTACGTAATTAATATTCATGAGATGAGGTTTCGCCATAGTAGGATTTATATGTATCCTTGGAGAACAGCTGGAAGAAATATGATGCTGCCGGATGGACAGGGGTGGACCTAACAGTAGCTAAACCTGATTAGAACCATAGCAAAACTATTTTTCCATTTGAAAATTACGTTGTACTATATTCAATTTTAAAATTATATGTATATAAAGCCAAAGTATATATAAAGTATAGATAGATAGATGATAGATAGATAGATAGATAGATAGTGAAAGGATTTATTAATCAATAAATTGACAGTTCAAATATGTATAATAATATGTAACAATAAAAATGTGAAAGAAAAACTCGTTTGAACCTATAAGTGTACATATTAAAAATAAATAAAATAATTATTTAATTCTTTAGTTAAATGTGAAATTAATTAATTAATTAATTAATCCCAAATTCTTTTAATATGCAATACTTTGATTAATAAACCTACTGGATTTGGCTGTTATTAATATTTTTTTCTTTAATTGGCGCAATTAGTTATTAAATTTAATACATTTAAAAAAAAAAAGATGGCTTATTTAAATGGTTCTCCCAGTACTGCATGCTGTAGAGATCTGACACATGGTGGCAGCATAACATCATATCCAGTTTGTGTGAATCTTATAAATGTTTGCACTATAATGGTTTGAATGGATGCATGTGAAACAGCCTTTGTATGCTTAAAGGCACAATATGTAAGATTTTTTTATTAAAATATCCAAAATCCATTAGAACAGTTTTATATATTTTGCTGACTTGTGTACTTACATTATCCCAAATGTTTCGAAGAATGTTTAAATCCAGAGAAATAAGCAATTTTAACTAGTGACACGGACCGTGTCTATAGTGTCATTGTGTCGCCTGCCAATGACGTCATAACCCCTCGATTTCCGGTTTTGTTTTGTAGAAAACATGGAAACACCAAAGACGCTTTAATATGCTATGCATTTTATTAGACAGGTGACGACCGCACAGAGTAGCATTATAACAGAACGTTCAAATGTATCCAGTATGATAAAACAGCGCGCCCTCTAGTGGTAAACAATTACATATTGTGCCTTTAAATGATCCATTCTAGGTCATGCATGTATAGTCATGCATTGTGGTTTTCCTCACAGAGAACGACATGCAAAAGGAAGATGTCCGGAGAGCAACACAATAGTGAGACCCTGCTCTGTAAATACTGCCCAGGAAACTGTGTGACAGGTTACCAGGCCAAACTATAGGGAATTGTTTCTCTCCGAGTCAGAAACGGAGCGGTTTATTTATTCTAGAAACACATCAAAGGCCGCTTAAATTAGGAAGATGCTGACACTTTAACCCTGCTGGAGAAAAAAATGAAGCATGCAGCAGGCCAGTGAATGAACGTGGGCTGTATTAGGAAATTTCCTCTCATCGAAATAATGTTGATATCTCTCATTTGCTTTCAGAAGCTGTTTGCCAGTGCTTTGAAAACATATACTAATATTTTAATTGATGTATATTTGATAGTATCTACTATAATACATCAAACTATTTAAATTTTCTCTGTTTTTAAGTACTTCAGATTTGAGTATGGGGCCTCCAGCGAAGCGGGCTTAATCAGTGAAGGCTGTTTCTTCAATACAGAGGATCTGCTCAATCTAAATGCATTAGAAACTTAAAAAAAACATTTCTGTGGAAACTTGAAGACTGGCATCTTACTGTATAGTCCTCAAACAAAAGATCCATCAGGAGGTCTGCAGACCTGTTGTTTCAGCACCTTTTTCTGCTAGATTCATAAAATCTGATCCAGGGGAGACTTTGCTTTCATGTAAATGACTTTGGATGATTTGATGCGATCAAGGAGGGAGGTCAACACTGCACTGAAAGCGCACAATAGTTCCCTCTGGTGCAGTTTGTAATTAATTTGGTTTATTCTTATTTTAGAGGAACTTTCAATCGCTCATGTTGCTTTTGAAAGAGAAATTATGCAATTATGTTGTTTAAGTATCAACTCCTGAATCGGCCAAACATTTTTAAATATCTTGCCAAGGAAAAAATACAAATAGAAATAAATCACACCGTTCCTGATAGCATAGATTAAATCATTTAGTCTTGGAAAAACAATATTTGGGTTCCCAGGATAAAATCTGAGAAAGGCTCAATTTTCTTGCCTCGCTGAGCTTGATTTTTCTTTCCAACAGGTACTGTACACTACTGTTCAAAACATTTTTTGAGTCTCTTATGCTCACCTGGCTGCATTTAGTTGATCAAAAATGCATTAAAAACAGTAATATTGTGAAATATTATTTAATTAAATCATTTATTATTAATTAATTAAGTTATGCATTTAGTAGACACTTTTATCCAGAGCGACTTACAGTGCATTCAGGCTATACATTTTTTTACCAGTATGTGTGTTCTTTGGGAATCGAACCCACAACCTTTTGCACGGCTAACGCAATTCTCTACCACTGAGCCACAGGAACACTATTTAAAAGAGCTTTTTTCTATTGTCATATATATAATATATATATAATATATAATTTTCAGCATCATTACTCCAGTCTTCAGAGTCACATGATCCTTCAGAAATCATTCTAATATG